GAAAAAGTTATATGATTCATCAGGCTAATAATCCTATGGTCTTCACATTTCTTGGAGTTTTTCTTCTTTGGTAGTGGTATAAACACCGATGTCAGCCAATCATTTGGTATTATGCCTGTTTCGTATATTTTGTTAAATATATCTTCCATTACTTTGATGTGTTCGTCTAGTAATATCTTTATTATTTCAATTGGGATATTATCTTCCCCAACAGCTTTTCCGTTCTTTATCTGATTTCGACTTCGGCTTCCTACCATCGTGCATTGTTTTTTCTTTACAGGTTTACCGCCAACATTGCCAAAGTTGTTATAGTGCATGCGTATAGTGAAAATCAAAAAATCTCACAAGAGGTTCCAAGATCAAAATCTATAAATCCATCGTCAGACCTGAAATAACATACGGATGCGAAACGTGGACCATGACCAAAGCAAACGAAGAAAATCTCAGACGTTTTGAACGAAAAATACTTAGCAAAATTTTCGGACCTCACCATGACATCATCACAAACCAGTATAAGATCAGAACCAATATCGAATTAAAATCACTCTTCAACGACGCCGATATTGTCCAAGAAATTAAATCACAGCGACTAAGATGGGCAGGCCACGTGCACAGACTGCATAACGAAAGACTTGTAAAACTGGTATGGGAGGAGCTTCCGAGGTAAAAGACCACTCGGACGTCCCAGAATGAGATGGAGAGATAACATCCAAGCAGATCTCCGGAAAATGAACATTCCGTTTGACCCTAGGTTGACGGAAGACCGAACAAATTGGAAAAAAGTTGTACAGTCAGCTAAGACCCACCCAGGGTTGTAGCGCTACGTGATGATGATGTATAGTGAATTTAGCTTTGTGGAATATCATTTTTGGTTTTTTAGCTCAAAAAATCAGCGGACTATCATGATGAGATGGATATACCATATTTAAACAATGATTTAAGGAAAAGCTGCTTCCTGATCATGTACATATGTATTATGTACATTATGTACATAATAAATGTACAGGGCTGTGACAGATCAGTAATTATGTACTGAATTGAATGTTGGGCAGTTAAAAAAAGAGGAACAACGAATGCATGTGGCGGAAATGAGAATGCTTAAATGAATGAGTGAAGTGACAAAAAAGGATAAAATTAAGAATAAGTAGGTATATAAGGGAAGTAGTTGAAAGCCTGGTATTCCCTATATTCCTATTCTTCTTAACGTGCCCTATCAAGTCCCCTTGACGTTGGCGATTAACATGGCGAAACTGTCTCTGTCTCGAGTTATTCTAAATAGTTGCTCAGCTTTCTTTATTCCTGTCCACTCCCCGATATTCTTCAACCAAGAGGCCTGCTTTCTACCAATTCCTCTGCGTCCTTCGATTTTACCCATCATAATGAGTTGAAGATCCTATACGCATCTGAATGTTGGACATTAAGACAAACATTGTTCTGAAGCTATTTTCTTGTGGCATTTTAAATTAATTACTATTTAACTGGGAATAAGCCACAATTAAAGGTAAAAGTACGTTTATTATAAACGTACTTTAACCTTTAATTGTGGCTTATTTCCCGTTAATTAGTAATTAATTAAGACAAACAGACAACAAGAACATAGATGCCTTTAAGATTTATTGCTGGTGTGGAATGCTGAGAGTGTCTTGGACTGAGAAAAGAACTAATTGATCAATCCCAATCTATCTCCAATAGATTTAAATAAAGAAGAGTCTACGTATCATAGTAGCTGAATATATCACCAAATGTTTCGGCCATCATATTAGAAGAAATGTTTTGGAAAAAATTACAGTGGCGGGAAAAGAAGAAAGATCGCCAAACAGGTATACATATCTTGTTATAAACATGCAAAACTCAACCACAATTAATAAAAATAGCGGAAGATCCAGACAAATGTAAACTGACTGTATAAGATATATCACGAGATCTTACCATATCACTTACACATCTTATCCCGTTAGCTTTAATATGGCTGATAACGATTTCACTACCATACTGAGTCACTAATTCAGCATTGCGGAGTTTTCTCCAATCTCCTTTTGTATTTCATCTCTTTAAGGGCCAAATATCATTTTGAAAATCTTTCTTTTAAATATCAGCAGTTTATTTATTTCTCGTTGGTTAAGATTTAACTGCCATCAATAACAACTGGGCTAATAATTGACTTGGATTATTATTTTGTACTATTATTTTGGATTGTCTGTTAAACAGCATAGATCTCAATAATGTTGAAAAAGGATATAATGTTTTTATTTAATTTAATTTAGAGAATAAGAGTTATATTCTGCCTAATTATATGCTTTCGATTTTTAGTTACTACTATGTATTTCGTCTTTTCTTCATTTATTTAGACAGCTTCCTAGATTACGTGCCTCTTCCTCGAATTATGAAAACACCTCCAGAATAGAAATTTGCTTTATTGTCAATGAAAATTGTACAATTAGGGCAAAGCTTACAAAAAGTCAGAAAATAACAATAACAATTAAAATTTACTGAAATTACATAATCGTCAATATCACAAAATAAAAGATAATAAAATAAACAATCAATAAGGAAATCTAAATAAATTGCAAATTGCATAGTACGAACTAATAAGTTCAAGTGGCTGCATATGAGACTTAAATTTAGATAAAAATACTTTAGTGATTTGTATTCTACTGAATAATACGGTCTTTCAGATAAATAGATAAGTAACACAGAGAAAACAAAAAGGATGTTAGAAACAGCAGAGATAAAAACTCTTAAAAAAATTGATGTTTATGGGACAGAGCTAAAAGTACATATATGCATATATACAGCTGCAAGGTGGAGAACATCAAGGACTGGGTAGGAAATAGAAGAGTAGAATGGAACGATTATATAAGCCGAATGACAACAAATAGGGTAGTAAAGGCGGCAAGAGACGGTTTCCCAATAGGAAGATGATCAGTAGGAAAACCACGAAAGGTCTATAAAAATACCAAGATATGTCATAGAATCAACGAGACTGATCTAGTTATTAAGAAGCAAGGGTTGAAGACCTTATTTATAGGATAATGCTACTGTCTTATCCACGTTAAAAGAGAGTAAATTAGAGTCGGACTAAGATTTTATTTTAACTAGTTCAAAAGTTATAGTTGCATGAAAAGTTGCAATATTAGAGTTTCTCCAGGTGATACTGATATCATCAGCAATAACAAAAAAAATTTCCATTAATTTTTAAATTAGTGATCTCATTTATAAAGATAAGGAAAAGTAGAGGAACCAATACTGAACCTTGTGGTACTCCGCATATATTGCTTTTGTGACTAGAGTTAGTATCATTTGCTTTAACTAGTTGTTTCCTATTCCGCAAGTAAGATTAGAACCAATTCAAAGAAATGCCTCGAATTCCGTAGAAATTTAGTTTTTTTATCAAATGTCGTGATTTACACAATCAAAAGCTTTGACACAGTCACAAAAAACAGTGGCAGTGTAAAGATTATTGTTTAGTGCTTGGTAAACCTCATGTAGTACAGAAAACATAGCTCACTGGTACATTTATTAGATAAAAGATGAACTGATTTTGTGATAAAATGTTGTTTTCAACGAGAAAGAACATAAGGCCGGACTTTTATAAGTCTCTGAATAATTTTGAATAGTACCGGTAGTAAAGCAATAGGTATATAATTGCAGTCATTTGATTTTTCACCACCATTATGAAGAAGAAAATTAATGGTTGTTTTTGCACACTCTGAAAATATACGTTTTTTAAAAGAATCATTAATTAGTGAGACTACGACTTCCAACACATTTTTTGGAGCATTTGAGAAAAATTTTAAGGATAGTCAATCAGTACTACAGGAAGAGTTGCTTTTGATACTATTAATTATTCGTATAAATAATGAATTCGAGACCTTTTTGGAATTGGAAAGATAGGAAGTGCGATCTTATAGCAAAATTGGTAATATGACATTTATACTTATTTATTCACACTCAGTTATTTAGATTTTCAGGGTTTCGAAGGAAAAAAGTTTGAGCTGTGTTTTATTCCGAAAATCTTTTATTATGGACCAAGTTTCTTTTGTCACTTTTAGAGCTTTCGAAACGATTTTGATATGCTTTTTTAGCTGTTTTGATAAGTTTTAGATAAGATTCTTTGTACTTGGTGATATATTCAGTGACAAAAACGTTAGTAGTTAACTTCTTGATGTATAGTGTGAACGCATTTTCTTGGCTGATATACGGATACCTATGGTAGTCCAGATTTTGTGATGCTTTGGCTTAACTGTAATTAAAATAAAATGCCTTATAATATATCAAACAAGCCTATCTAAAGAATCTCTGAAATTATAGTTCACGTCTACAAAAGAACAGTAGGATTTTGTAAAATTCTCAGTCTTTTGTGAGTTTTTATTTCCAGCATTTCAATGGATTCATGGACCAAAGAATCACCAATATGTATTTTCAATATCCTGCTCTAACATAATATTTCCAATCATTTAATGTTCTTTATGATTTCTTTCTTCAGTTACATCCTACCATTTCGTAAAGTAATGTAAAGAACACGTAACACTCTAGAGCTGTTAATTTGAGTTATTCAGAAAGTTCTGTCTGTGGCTGTTTTTTTAGTTTAATTTTTGTTATTATTGTTTTTTATATAATTAATTTTATCTAAGTTTCCCAGTTATTTGAACGCATTATCATTTTCTATTTAGGTTGGCTCTATCATTAAGCTTTCGTCTATATTTTGTATTTTTTTTACAAATGTAGATTGAGTTTTTTTTAAATTATTTAAGTCCAAATCTACTGAAACAATCATTCGTTTTGTTCACAAGCTGTTGTAACGATTCAAGGTTATCTGATACGATAACAGTGCCATTAGGCCATTAAGAATAGTTTAAATATTTTTATCAAGGACAAACGTTATTTTCGGGGAAAATTTTTCAAAAACCGATCGCTTTTGTTCGTAAGCTCTCGGTCTAAAACGATCAACTTGTTCGAAATTCACCTAGACGATTAGAAATTTAGTCAAGTGAGCAACGATTACCGTCAGCGCACGAGTACCTTCTAATTTTTTTATTGTCTTTGCGTGTGTCACCGGAGTCTGTGTATACGTTTATGTTTGAATATCATAGAATTTTATCAGTTTCACCTGTTATCTCTATTTACGGCGCGTGAAATTGTTGGATACTTTTCATTGTTTTCAGTGCTTTGAAAAAAATATTTTTGTGACTTTTTTACGAAAATAAGTTAAAATGCAGCTGTGGAGCAATTTGGTGATTATTTGCTTGCTTATTTTGGCATGTACAGGTAATACAATATTTGATTATTATCTAATTTTCTTATCAAGGTATATGATTAATATGAATAAGGTATTTTCTAGAAATTAATTGCCTTATTTAACTGTTATTGCTGTGAGCCCGCACAATATTTTTGCGGCATTTAATTTGATTTAATTTATTAATATTGAAGCGTATTGTATATATATATATATATATATATATATATATATATATATATATATATATATATATATATATAATGAAATATATAATGAAATAATTTTAATATCAATATCAATACTGAGAATTAAAGACAGAAAATTACTTTTATGAATGTGGGAGCCGCATAGGTAAATAATACGCATAGTTAGTAGATAATAAAGTTAATAATAAAACCAATAACAATTGATTGAAGTTCTCTTTATCCCTATCAAAGATATCTTTTATTATATTTATATTTTGAGTGCCACATGATTTGATTCCTTACCTTTAAATTTTATAACTCCTCACTGAATATTACAGGGATTTAGTTATCTGTTTATTGTGATTATTTTTCGCGTTTTCTCTATCCTGCTAGTCATTTCTGCTTCTAGAGATCCTGTTTTTTTCTATTATTAGGTAGGTACTCCTAAGTACCCATGTAAAAGTTTTAACTTGTTCTATTTTTGTTCCTTCAATTTCTATATTGTATTAAGTTCTTCTCTTGTTTCCCATATCTGCATAACTTGTTAATATTTGTCTTCATTCTGTTTTCATTGATTACTTCTTTCCATATTTCCAAATTATTCGGAAGTTCTTTTCCTTCCAATTATTTGCAATTAGCACCAAATCGTCAGCAGCAAATACTATTTCCGAGATTTCTACTCTTTGTAGATTTCTAAACACTACATCCAGTTTTTTACTTCTTGTTGTGCATGCCTTAATAATTTCGTCCATAATTATTTAAAATGTGTTGGGCTAAGTTCTCCTTCTGTGTTAAGCCTCCATTTATTGTAAACGTATCTGATGTTGTATTGTTACTAATTACGGCATGATTTTTTGTATCATTCTTAGTAACTTGTTGTCCATTTCTTTTTCTCTAAATATTTTCCATAGTTTCTTTATTGGTATATTCTTTATTGAAGGCTTTTTCTATGTCAAGTAATGCTACTATATATTTTCTTTTTCTTTTGCAGCGCTTTTTGTATTATATGTTGTAAAGTAAATATATGATCCTGTATACTCCTACCACTTCTAAATCCACTTTGTATTTCGTCTAATGTATATTCCGTTATTGATCTTAATCGTTTGTTGATTATTTTTATACATGTACATAGCAACGCCAATCCTCTGTAGTTATTACATTAGCTCTATCTCCTTGTTATATATATGGGTACTATTAGTAACACACACTTTCCAATTTTCTGGTATATCTTTATTTTCTATATTTTATTCATTATTTTTAGTAATATTTGTTCGACAAAAAACTGATGAGTTTTTTTATAATTTCTGTTATTTGTTCTGAAGCTATTTTCTTGTGGCATTGTAAATTAATTACTATTTAACTGAGAATAAGCCACAATTAAAGATAAAAATACGTTTATTGACGTTTCAATTTCCACTTCGGAAATCGTTCTCAAAATACAAACAATAAATTAAACAAATTTTGTTTTTTGTTACATAGTGAAAAATTCTTCTAATAATTTAATTTTATCTGACTCATTTATATTGACAATTCAGACATACATTATGCATTTTAAAGTAGACGACTTTAAAATGATATTGCCAATATTGTTGAGTTGCACTCCTGGGACGACTTTACTTATAAGATAGTTCATTCGATTACATGAAATCAACTTTAACTTGAGAATATCCGTCAGAAAAAATCATAGCATGTAATTCGTCTTTAAAAAGACAAACACATGACATGATGACAGTAAAATTCTCCTGTTAGTGATTCCATAGTAAATTATGAGGGAAAAACCAGGAAAAAAACCTCATAATACTATCCCGAAATTGTAAGTATTTGTTCGTGAATTTAGTTTACCTTCAACAAACATCAAAATTCTGATTTTATATGTTACGTTATATAAAAAACATAAATGATGTATCCTCTATATGCTACTGACTTACTAATACTGGTATTTTCTTATTAATAACTTCCTCTTTAAGGATTAAGGTTTAAAATTTAAAAGGATAGGAAATAAATTCAACATTTCAACAACATTCAAAACAACAAACCCGTTGAGATCTATTTTGTTTAAAAACCAAACCTAACAATGAACAAGAAAGGACAAAGAATTGCATTTTTAAAATACCTTGTGAATGCGATCAGTTTTATTTAGGTGAATCATCAAGGCCATTCAATGTTAGAATAAGTGAACATCAATCTTATATTAAAAATAGAGAATTTGATAGATCTCAAATATGTAAACACGCATGGGATAATGAACATAGGGTTCAATGGAATAATTCAAATGTAGTCCTAAAAGAAACGGATGGTAAAAAAGAAAAATCAAAGAAGCGGCTCTAATTATGCTAAATGAGGCCAATTGTGTCGCAAATTCCTCAGCAGAATGTAGTAGGATCTGGTTACCAATATCGAAAGAGGAAGTTATTAATAAGAAAATACCAGTATTAGTAAGTCAGAAACATATAGAGGATACATCATTTATGTTTTTTAAATAACGTAACATATAAAATCAGAATTTTGATGTTTGTTGAAGGTAAACTAAATTCACGAACAAATACTTACAATGTCAGGATAGTATTATGAGGTTTTTTTCCTGGTTTTTCCCTCATAATTTACTATGGAATCACTAACAGGAGAATTTTACTGTCATCATGTCATGTGTTTGTTCTTTTAAAGACGAATTACATGCTATGATTTTTTCTGATGGATATTCTCAAGTTAAAGTTGATTTCATGTAATCGAATGAACTATCTTATAAGTAAAGTCGTCCCAGGAGCGCAACTCAACAATATTGGCAATATCATTTTAAAGTCGTCTACTTTAAAATGCATAATGTATGTCTGAATTGTCAATATAAGTGAGTCAGATAAAATTGAATTATTAGAAGAATTTTTCACTATGTAACAAAAAACAAAATTTGTTTAATTTACTGTTTATATTTTGAGAACGATTTCCGAAGTGGAAATTGAAACGTCAATAAACGTATTGTTATCTTTAATTGAGGCTTATTCCCAGTTAAGTAGTAAATAATTTCTGTTGTTATTTTATCCACTCCAAGAGCTTTTCCATACTTCAACTTTTTCATTGCTCCTTCTAGTTCTTCCTCGTTTATGGAATTTTCTGTATTATCTTCCAATATATTATTTTGTTCTTCATTGATGTGGCCTTGGTTTATAGTCGTTAGCAGTTCTTTGATTGAACAGCACCTTTAGGCTTATCCTAATTCATGTACTACAAGCAACATAATTATAAAATCAAAACACATCTTATAAATTACAAAATTACAAATTATTTTCCTCTTTTTTTACATCATATTTCTTCCCTACACTTCCTTACTACTACTTTTTGTTTTTTTCGATTCTGTGCATCTTCTATCTTCTTTAATTTTACTACTCCATCCTTTTATTGGTCTCCCTTTTCTTATCTTCTGCACTAGTTTTCTCTGCAATTATTTTGGCATTCTTTTACTTCGAATTTTTTCTATACTTATGTCATAAAAAACCTAGTGTTCGTGACTTTATACAGTTTGTTATTTTTATATCGTTGAATAAAGTTTTTCTCATATTATGCTCGTTTTTTAGCCAATTTTATATTAATTCCTCTGCAAATAGATTTTGTCTGGGTCTATTTCAGTATTACTAATATCTAGAATTTAGAGTCAAAAGTTTCCTCTTAGATCACTTACTGTTATATTGTTTTTCGCAAAATATACTGAGATTTTATAAGTTTTATGACTCTGACTAATTGATTGTTATTCAGGCCTCTCTCTATTGTCACCTCTTTTTCTTATTGTATTAGTCCCCTTGACCTTTTCTTTCGCTGATTTGAGCTTATATTCGTAGCTGAGATGTTGGCTGTCAGTTTTCCCGCCACCTTTTAAAGAGTCTGCCTAGTTGTCTCCTACCTGCTGGTATTGAAACTCTGGCTATTGGGCTATTCGGTTTCTGCTCATTCTCGTGACATGCTGATTCCATTTACGTCTTCTCTGTTTTCGTACTTACTATGTCTTTTATGTTATGGATATCTTCCGGTTCTGCTACCTTACTATTTTTCGATATTTTGAGGGCATATCTTTTCCCGTTCATGGATATTTTACTTATTTGCGTATGTTCAGTTTTTTCTTCCTTTCCATTCTCTTGAAGCTTACACTTATCATCTGTTAACAAAATCTTATAATGGTACTGTTAACTTTATTTTAGCCTTTTCTTTTCCACATACACATACACAATAGTAAGGCCGACCTGAATAAGACTTGCATACCCGTAGGAACATTTGGGCATATAATTAATTGAGGTGAGGAGGATTGGTCCAGGTCAAAGACGAATCATCCGAGCCCCAACGCTATCCAGGCACTCCTCCACGACCCCCTTCATAACACCTGATGCTCTATGAGAGGCTATTATCATAATGATGCTTGTCACGTGAAAGTCTTGGGAAACGAGATTCTTACTTGACGTCTTCTCCGCGTGAAGTTTAGGACAGCGTGAGGCGCTCTAGTCACGTAATTTTTTTTCTTGACATCTTAATGTATTTTGTAGCTTCCAGAAGCCTACCAGAGTCTTTCGGCTGAGCTAACTATAGAGTCTCAACACTCGGATGAGAAAATGGGCGCCTCTGGCCGGATTTTTAATGTTTTATAGTATTTTTGTTGTTAGCATGTGCCATTTTTGTGTGTTTTAATGATTTTTTTTTTAAGGAAGTTTGATACGAGGATCGGCTGAGGGTGGGAGTTAGTCGAGCGTTTCAGAATAACTTACATGCTTCTACATTAGAGCTACATTAACCATTGCCAAGCAGTTGCTGTTTGGGTCTTCTGTATTTCCATCGGTGGAAGACATCATACGTTATGATCTCTT